GATTAAATTGTCAAAACCGGCACCATTCATTTTTAAATTATCATTTCCTTGTGGTAAAATTCCTGGACCTTTTTATGAGTTTGGTAATTATTATATAAAATAATTATATAAAATCCGATCAAATAACATATTAACCTACCAGAAAAATTGTTATTGGAATTTGAATTCTGAGATGAAAACGAGCCATCCCTACTCCTGGCATCCTTATGGTGTAGTGGATCAGGAATGCTATTATTGTTAATATTATTATTGGGTGGTAAATAAGGATTTGGTGATGTAGTTCTAGGCAACGTCAATCCGTAATTATTTTGATCAGAAGAAGGGTTACGGAAATTATGTTGTGATCTAGAATTATCATATCCAGATCCAGAATTGGACATTGCTGATGGTAACGGAGGGACTGGCGGCTGCTGTTGTTGTATTGGATTATTGATTTTTCTATCTTGAGAATATTTACGTGCATGATTTTGCTGATCACTTCGAATATCATACGATTGGTTGGTGGGTGATGGCGGAAATCTATTGTTATTACCATTATCATATGGAACAGGCGATCTACTCCTATCATCGTAACTAGGCTTACGATTATGATGATAATCGTTATTAGTATGGAGATGGTTATTATATTTATCAAATTGTGATGGTTGCTGATGCAACGTTTTGACTAGTCCATAAGGATCATCACTATTATGTCGTAAATTTTCTTCGAATGGTGATCGTTGTTGATCACGATCAAAAGGCCCTGTCTGTTTTCTAGCAGGATATTTATCTTGTTGTTTATGTCCACGATATTGGTCTGGCTGTGGTGGTTGATAATGATTATTATTATTATTATTATTTGATCTATTGTTATTGTATTGTTCAGGACTTGGATAATTATTTCCGTTTTTATGATTAAAATGATTATTGTATTGATTATTGTTGTTATTATTGCTGTTGTTGTTGTTATTATTATTATATTGTGGTTGTTGGCGTTGATGATCCATGTTTGATGGATATTGGTCAGGTCGTTTATAAGAATCAGGTGGATATCCTTTATTATTATTACTATTAATATTATTGTTCCCATTATAGGGATTTTGATTATTGTCATTTGCATTTGGAGCAGGAAAACGCGGCGAAGAATCCATCTGTTTACTTTTATTATACTTTTGCATAAATGATCCGGCTTTACCTCCTCCAGTTGATGTTGTGGTTGGTGGTTGGTTTGAATTTGGCATGGGGTTCACGTATTTATTATTGTGATTAAAATTAGTCGCGGTTGAATTATGCGTTGAACTCGAATAACCCGAGTCTGTGGGTGAAATATTACTATTATCAAATGAACCATTTTGTGAACGTGGTATTTGACGCCCATATTGATTTGGTAGATTTTTGTTGTAAGAGTTGTCTAAGAGTAATTTATTTTTATATATATTATATAAGATTAACTAATTAATTAATTATATATAATTAATTATATTAAGCATGTTGAAAAAAAACTAGATAATTGGTAATTACAATCCTGATATTTATAGTTTATATATGCATTGAATAGACTCTCTCTTATCATTAACGCCGGGGAAAATAATATAACAAAACCACCCACCTTGTTGTGTAGATATGTTTTTATTACTATTTTGATACATGGCAGGTAATGCAGGAACAGCAGGCGCCGCCTTACATGTATGCTGATCGAGCAAATTAAAATCGACTGTTTGTCCACAACCTTGACATTTTATCGAAGCTAAAAGTTGGCTGACTCGTGGCTCTTGCACGCTCATTTAGTTTGGGCAAACAAAGTATTACGATATAAAGCTTTATTAGTAATATATTAATTCGTATATGTTCAGGTTTTAAACAGGGAAGTGAATAGTTTTTGGTGTTTTTAGGATAAGGAGGAGTGAGAGTGGGTATAATTGAACAAGATGTGCTAAGAAAAATAAAGGACGACGAAACGAGAATAACAAATTTTAATTCTTCTAATTATATAATATTAACAATTAGAGAATATAAACGTGGATACACAAGTGCACAAAATCCAAAGATGTTTAGTGTCCCCGCCCATACCATTGTAATTTTTATGTGGTTAGTTTTAAGTATCGTGGGATGGGATGATGTTATACAAGGATCTCGGCCATATGAAAGAACGGGTTTTACCAATTTTCACCGAGTTGTTTTGTTAGATATTTTTATTCTATAATTAAAAAACTATCTATAAAAGTAAAAGTAAAATCTAAAAGATTTTTGATCTGCAGTAGTAAAATATTAACATACAAATCAGATGGTGAGTTTTATGAAAACCAATCTTCATTTTTATTCGTTAATAATGCATACCATTCTAAACATAGACATACATTGTTTGTTATATGAATAGTGATCGATTTTTAATTTTAGCCAAATAAAAAATGTAGATTGGTTTTCATAGTAAATTCATTACGCAAAATATAATATTTTAATTTCATAAATCTTACATCAATGATCTTTAGTAAGATTACGAATTTTTGTGGATGATCTAATCGTTAAATTGTAAATTCCTTTTATAAACTTAGAGACTATGAAAGTGATCATACGAGGAGAATGAAGTCATAATTTCTGTGTAAATTTTTGGCAATTCACATGTTATATTTGGTAGACTCTGAAATGTCAGAAAAATATAACAGGTCGAATTATTTGTTGAATGAATATCCATTTTTTTGATTAAAAATAAATTTGATGGCATCAAATGACTGATGTAATTTGTGCAAGGATAAATTCGATCATCTACATGCTGTTTTGCTTATCAGGTTTTTTCTTCGAACGAAATAGCAGTTTAATGCAAGAAAAGCAAAGTGTTCCACATATGCATAATTTTCAAGCTAATTTTAATAACATTAAAAAGGCGAATCTGAATTCAAATTTGCCCAAACTGCAGAAAATACTAAATAAAGATCTCTCATTTCACAACAACTCAATTCAATCGCAAACCAATCCACCCGAAATCTATTCAATAAAAGGTACAAATTTATCTCTTGTCTTTACATGAATTCTAATCTTATTTTCAATTATAATTGAATCTTTCCATGACAATAATAGACTTAGAAATACTATCAGACATTATAACGTTTGCTTCACACACTTCTCCTAACGTGTCACCCGAGAACACTCCTTTTTCGTTTCTAAGCCTATTTCGTGCGTACGATATAGTGCTGCGAACGCGCAAAATCGACCCATCAACAGATAAAATCTATTACAAGTTTTTGTTGAAATTATGTTGTGAGCCGGGTGAGAATTGGGAAGAAAAGTTTGAGAATGTCGTAAGGGTACGTGTCTTTTTGACTTTCATATGTGTTTTATGTAATGGAACATTCATTGAATCCTTTTAATGGACAATTAATCAACTACTCAATCAACCAATCAATCAATTATTCGATCAATCATTTGATAATTAGAAACTTGGATTAATTGCTCAGGATGTAAAGCTCTACGATCAAATAATCGAGCCAACTGAACCTTTCTCTAATAACATTAGGTCATTTGAGAATATAAACAAAGTAAAAATCATTTTTTCTTTATAAAAAACTAATTTTATAGTATACTAATTTGAAGACCTCTAATTTATGTATGATCTCTATCGCGTTTTCTTTAGACTTCTGAATTATCAATTAAGGTAAAAGGGCTTTGAGAAGTTATTTCTACGGAACACCTTAATTAGAATCCATCTTAACCAGAAAATATTTTCAGGATTTTTCTACGAATAAAAAAGAGAAGATGAAAAGTGATACGACTGCTCAACCGCAACTAAGCCTCCCAATAAAAAATACTGCATCTGTGGGACCTGCAAAGCATGAATTTTTGTCAATTGAGCAGCCAACAGCAGCCTTAATACACCCACCGCCGCTGCCGCCTCCTCCTATTCCATTAATTCATTCTACCGAAGATGGTACCATATCCAAAGAAAATAAACTATCGACATCTGTAAGTATAGAAACCACAATAGTGACTAAACAACAACCGATTAATGTTGCTATTACGGTAATTATTAATAGATTATTCAAATCTCTCGAAAAATAGATTCTTTAAGCTTCTGTACAGAAACCTTTATAATATATTTTAATTTGATGTATGTTTATCTCAATTAATTAAAGTCTCAAGATACCAAGCAGAAAGATGCACTTTCAACTTCGTCTTTTGAGAAAAAACCAACTTTTGAGGTGAGGATATTTTGAACATCCTCACATAAACAATACGAACAAAACTCAGGCTTATGAACTCTATTAAATCTCTAGAAGGATGAATCTACAAGAGCCAACAAAAATCAAATAATAACTATGTCGACACAACAACCACCTAAGAATGCGATTTCTGCTCAAATCATCCAAACTGAGGCATTGAAAAGTGATGATTTGGATAAAATCTCATCAGTTCCAGAACAACTAGAAAATCTTCGGGATTGCTTTCGGGCTTGGCGAAGGTATCATTCATTTGGACATTTGAAAGAGAATTTTTTTTCTTCTTTTTTGATTTTTAGTATCTTCTTTTAGATACACTTCTATTATTCGTAAAAGACGAACCCACATAATTAAACAATGGCAAACAGCATCCGAGCATTATAAAAATAAATTGTTGGCAAAATGTATGCATCAATGGCGAATTGTATATGAGTATCAAAAAGTAATTTATGTTATAATTATTCGTATTAACATAACTTATCGAAACTCTTACTAATAAATAATTTCATAAAAATTATATTTTAAAGGAGAAAATAAAAAATGCAGATGACCATTATAATAGAAATTTACTGCGAAAGGCCTTTGATTTTTGGCAAAGTCGAAAAAACAAACGTAATATTTTATGATTATGATTTATTGTTGACGTACTTAATATTTATTTAACTCATACAATTGCTTTATATCACAAGTTGTATTAAATGCACGCAAATCTATCGTTCACGATCAGAAACGCAAAGTCAATAAATATTTTCAACTTTGGATTTCAAGGTAAAAAAAACCGATGATTTTTTACCATTGAACATGCCTTTATTTATTTTCTCATTAAAATACAAATTATATACATCAAAGTCTTACCATGATCAATGAATCACGACAAACTGTTGAGGAAAGAGTGGACATGAATGAAAACACACCGGATTTGTTACGTGCTTGTCTTAATAAATGGCGTTTACGATATAATGAGAGAGTTTACAACAAGGAAAATAGGAAAATTATGTTACAGAAATCCTTTAAAATATGGCGAACAAATTTTATTTATTCTCTTCTCAAACAAACAAATGAATTTGAACTGATGGAACGGTTCTTTGCAACGTGGTCGATATCCTTTTTTTATGTCTTTTTTATGTTTTTTTTGCAAGTTAAATTTTTGATATATTAGGAAATTTTGACTCTGCAAAACGACAAATATTATTCAAGACAACTTGCATTAGCAAGCAAATATAGCATTTTAGACGTAAACAATGAAGGAAACTTAACACAGGCGGCTTTTGAGCAATGGAAAGACAAATATAACAATTATGTGTCGTTGAGTGAAATGGCCGAAGTAAGAAAATTTGAAATTATCGAAAAATATTATTTCGATGACTTGCATTTTTTTTGGCTCGTTTATTAAATCATTGCATATAATAGGATGATTATAATACGAAATTGGTTGAATTCGCCTTCTTACATTGGAAAAGAGTGCTGAAACGGAAAAAGAATATGGAAAATAGAGCAGATCGGAAATTAAAGGAAAAATATTTTGTCGAGTGGTTTACTAGGTTTGTCTTTGTTAATTATCAATCAGAGCATTTATTGTTATATCGTACTTCCATTTTATATGACTAATGTATCGAAATAGGGCTTATCAAAAATGGAAATGGCGACAACCTCGAAAGTTAGTTGTAATAAAAATTTTACAAGGTAATTTTTATTAATATGTGATTTTTCTTTATTTTACCAATTCATTAACCCAATAATTCTTGTTTTGATTTTTTCCCTAGAATGGCGTCGTTGGGCTAAAGAACGTCATAAAGAAAGAATAGCGTTAGAAAAGGCTGCAAATACAAAATCCGATGCGGTAAATTTTGAAGAGAATAGATTATTGTGTACTGATGTTTAATAAATTTTGGATCGCTTACAATTGGGTTAATATATCATATATCGTTATTATCATTGTCCACTGTTAGTTCATTATGATCTTAGATCTTAATATTATTTTATTCCATGGTTGAAATAATTTTCGATTTTATAATGAATCTAATAGGAATAATTCTAAAACCAAAAGTATCATCTATTTTTAATATTATCATATCAGATAATACAAAGAAAGTGTTTCATACACTGGATTCAGCGATATCAGACATTGGAGATCATGGAAAGTCAAGGAATTGCACGCTGGGAGAGTAACACGCTATCGTAAGTTGCAGCAGATATTTTATACTACTGTGTTTACATCACCAGTAAGTAGAATTCTTATTGACTACTCTTGACGAGTAGGAAATCATTCGCACAATTAAATTTAATCTGGTCGAAAAATCAATTTTATAAACAACAAGCGAGTTTCTTTGTCAACCATTGGATACTCAAAAGAACATTTCGACATATGCGAGAATATCATAAACATATTCAAGGTCATGATTTACAATGCATTGTACAAATTGAAAAGATTCGCTGTGAGCTAACTCGACGCGTTTTGCGTGTATGGCTTGTTTCACTGTTACGATATCAAACTCGACAGGAAAAAGTAGATATTGCCTACAAGAGAAACCTAAGGCGAAAATATTTTAATCAGTGGCATCGTAAAATGTGTTTTACACGTCATCGACAAGTTACTATAGTTGTACAATCTAAAATGCGAGATCAAGCCAGATATTTTAAGAAATGGAGAAAAGCATATCAGAAACAAACAGAATTAACTCAAAAAGCGAATGTTGCAAACAATCTCCGTATCGAGCGAAGCTTTTTCAAATTTTGGAAACTTCGATATGCACATTTGAAGAAAATGGAGAATTTGGCTATCGAAAGTTATAATACTCATATCTCAGATATTGCATTCAATATATGGAATAAATGGAAATCAAAAACAGTCGCCTACGAACTAACACTTGAACTAGCCCAGGAACACTACAACCACCGATTACTCATCCCATCATTCTTCAGATGGTGTCAAATCTGGCAAGTTCACGAACACGATCGGGCAACTGCCTTGTCTCACTACGAGAGAAAATTGTTTGTGGGAATATGGACGAATATGAGAGCACGATATCATCGTATTATGGGCGACCGTTGGAAGATAGAAGCAAATGCTCGTTTAGTGCGGAACGTTGATTTAAGACGGCAACGGGGCGCGTTTATTGGTACAAATTTTTCGCATTTGTTGATTGTCCGCGTTGTGTTTTTTATTATCGTTGTTGCTGTTGTTGTCGTCTTTAAATCTTTATGATACTTGACTTTTCAGCTTGGCGCATTTTTGTTAAAAGGCGAAAAGAATTACGTCTTGTGCTTGTCAGTACAGTTCAGATGTTACCAGAAAGATTAGTTCGTGGACATGGTATTA